CACACACACACACACACACACACACACACACACACACACACACACACAGTAACCTGCAACAGTATCAATGGATGTATTAAACCGCAGTGACACTAACTTTCCTCCTATACGAACCTTCTAAAGAGGGACAGAATTAAGCGTAACATGTTTTGTGATTGCAAATCCTTTAGGTTCAAACTTCATGTCTGTTGTTCTACACTAGAATTATGTTAAAGTTTCAACAATTTATTCACTCAACCAAATCAGTTTATTTTCTTTGGGTGAAATGACGTGATGAAAGTCCATCCCTTCATCTTGTTCGGCTTATCTGTTTCAGTGCCTTGGCTTTGGGTGAAAGGCAGAGTACATCCTGTACAGGTCACCGAACCACTGCAGGACTAACACAAACAGACAGCTGCTCATGCTCACAGTCACACCTATGGCCACTTTAAACTCTCCAATTAACTTAAAGCCATGGATGTGTTGGAATGTGATGGGAAGTCAGAGTACCTGGAGAGTACACAACAAGGCCCCAGCCACCTCTTAGATTCAAACTCAGCACCTGTAAGGCAACAGTGCGAACTATTTCTTTAAAATAGTAATTAAAACATATCAAATACTTAAACTGAGATAATTATAAAAATCAGTTTGCAGCATGTCTCAGAAGCAACAGTTGCCTTTGAAAATTGAATAGATTCTCACCAGGCAGCCTTGACTTGCCAGATATACGTACATTTAACTGGCAGGGCTTTTTGGTTTTGCCCCCCGCTCGACCACCATGCGGGACACTTCCTGGGAGTGTGCACAATAATCTTGGATATCACTTTAAATGTCAGAGAACTAAGTTTCTCAAATCCATGTTTGTGCTGTTTTGTCTTAAACAACTTAATGGTTGCAATTAATAGATTTTTACATAAACCCCAAATATCAGAATTAGGTAAAGTAACATGTTTGGAAATTGTTATCAATGCTTTTATTTACAACTTATGATCCTTTAATAACAATAGCTGATAGTTTTAGATTGCTTTTTGTAATTACTGAAAGAGGTCTACTATTGCATTACATGAACAGATAAATGACTATCATTGACCAAACTGTGAAATAAAGTTCTATACGTTTATATACATTTCTGTCTAAATAGTGTAGCAGCTGGTGCTAGAACCATCTGTGCTCGTCTCTACTGAGACTGAAGAAGGCAAACATGTGCTGCATGACATTCAGCAGCCCAGGTTTGAGTCTGACCTGAGGCCCCTTGCTACACACCTTCCCCTGCAATCTCTCCCTGCTTTCCTGTCGACTCTCCATTACGGCAGCATCCAATAAAAGGCAAAAGGCCCCAAAAGAGATTTTAAAAAGTAAAAGTGCAACTGGATTTCTTGTAGCATTTTAACAGTATAACGTTACTTTCAAGTTGGCCCACGAGGATGTCTAACCCATCAGCTACACAACAGTTGAATCAGAAAGACCGAGCTAACTGTTGTGACTTGTTGTTTCTAAGTGTGACAGAGATGAATAAGAACTGTTACTTGAGCACAAAGCAGGACATGATATCAAAAATGGAGCGAACAGTTGATCTCCTACCATTGTCGCTGTCCGATTTGTTCTCGTGCTCAGTGTCAGTTAGAGTCAGCACTGAGTTGGAGCGGCTCGACAGGCAGGAACTCCTCCCGGATGATTTACCCAGACCTCCGCGGCCCCACAGATGCATAGCATGCTCTGGGGACATGACTGCCTGACTATCAGTGTCTAGCTCCTGAGCTGTACCAACTGAGAAACCACGGTGGGGTGGAGGCATTTCAGGGCAGAAAGGCAGGCCGCGACGAGACGGTGGCTCACAGATCCCCAGCTGACGAAGACTGAAGTGTTGACCTGAAACAGATGGCCGTGTTGAAATAATTTAGAAATCATTAGATCATCGCAAATGACTATAGATCTAATACACAGAGATGGTGTGACTATGGCATAAAATATACACTATATTGCCAGTGTACACTCACCCATCCAAATCATTGAATTCAGGTGTTCCAATCACTTCCATGGCCACAGGTGTATAAATTTAAGCACCTAGGCATGCAGACTGCTTCTACAAACGATTGAGAAGAACAGTAACTCAGCCACAAAGTGGTAGGCCATGTTAAATCGCAGACCGGGGTGCTGGGTATGCAGAGGTCACCAACTTTCTGCAGAGTTAGTTGCTACAGACCTCCAAACCTGATGTGGCCTTCAGATTAATTCAGGAACAGTGTCTCTTTATTAACCTCTGTCTCTCTTCCACAGCATGTCTTCATCCTGTCTTCCTTCTCTCACCCCAACCAATCACAACAGATGGCCCCGCCCCTCCCTGAGCCTGGTTCTGCCGGAGGTTTCTTCCTGTTAAAAGGGAGTTTTTCCTTCCCACTGTCGCCAAAGTGCTTCTCATAGGGGGTCATATGATTGTTGGGTTTTCTCTGTATGTGTTATTGTAGGGTCTACCTTACCTTAAAGTGCCTTGAGGCGACTTGTTGTGATTTGGTGCTGTATAAATAAAACTGAATTGAATAGAAAACTTCATAGAATATGAGTTTATGACCAAGCAGCTGCAGTCAAGCCTCATATCACCAAGGACAACGCAAAGCATTGGATGAAGTGATCTAAAGCAGACTTCCAGTAGACTCTAGAGCAGTGGGGATCTGATCTCCGGGGTGACAAATCATGTTTCTTTGTATGGCAATATGATGGCATCTGAGTTTGGCGACTGCCAGGAGAATGTTACTTCGCTGTCCAGTGTTATATTTGTTGGTGAGGGGATATGGTGTGGAGTTGTTTTTCAGAGTTGGGCTTGGCCCCTTAGTTCAACTAAAGCAAATCTTAATATTCAGCATAACAAGATACAATTTCAAGCTCCCAGCTATGTGGGAACAGTTTGGGGGTGGCCCTTTCCTCTTCCTACAGCACTGTGCACCAATGCACAAGGACAGAGTCCTGACCTCAACCTGACAAACACCTTCGGGATAAACTGGAAATATAGACTGAGATCCAGGGGCTCTCGGCCAACATCATTGTCAGATGTTGCAAATGGTCAAAAATTCCCCCAAACTCACTCCTAAACCTTGTGGAAACCCTTGATCTGAAGCTATTATAGCTGCAAAGGGTGGGCTGACATCACATTAAAACCTATGGATTAAGAACGGGATCTCACTCAAGTTCATATATGTGTGAAGGCAGACGAGTGATTAATTTTGGCAATACAGTGTATATACAGCAGGTGGAAGACAGCTATGGAAAAATAGTCAAACAAGTCTGTGAGGAATCTTTGACAAAGCAATTCTTATGAGACTGAATGAATAACTCAGAAGACAAACCAGACAAAAGGTGCCTCAAATCCAGTTAGACGTTGAGAATATAAGTGCTTTAAGTCTCATGTATGGTGGTGCAGCTCACAGTGACATGTACATGTTTAATATAATCAATATGAAGCTGTGCTTTAGTTTTGTACACAGTTTGTTCAGATGTAAATTAGAGAGTTAAAGATCAATTTTACTGCTAATTAAATGACAACCTTTACTCATTATTAGTGTTATTACAGTAAAAGCAGTAAGTGAAAAATAATAATAAATAATTATATGATAATAGTAAACATTAATGATTTTAACAGCTCAACAGCTTTTTAAACAGTGAATAACATTAAAAAACATTTACCGTTTGTACCGACACTTTCCCAACTCACTGTAGTCAAATTTGGAAGGTTTCTAAATAACAAGCTAAGTATGTGTGCGGGAGGTGGAGTGGTCTAAAAAGAAGGAGCCTGATATAAAATAAAACAACGAGATTCAGGGCAGCCAATAACCCAGAATCATCTTGATGCACGCTCAATCATCCAGGTAAGAACATCTCCAAAAGCTGGTTCTGTTCATCTGGATGTTTTCAGTGGGAGAAACGTTTCGTCGTCTTCAGTCTCAGCTGACTGCAGGCTTCAATCTTATAAACAGGACATTTGCATGATGACTGAAACCAGCCCACTGAAGGAACAATGGGCTGGGAGCTCAGTTCCTTAGTCTTAATTATGCAAATTCTCATGACCATTGATCAGCAACCACTGATCAAAACCCACTGATCAATGGCCATTCACAGATGGTACTCATGGCGAAAGTGACGAAACGTTTCTCCCACAAAACGCTACGTCCAGAATCAACTTTTGGAGAAACCCAGAATCATGTTTACGCTGAGAGTCTGATGATCCTAGCTTTCCTGTCAGAGCCTGAGCTTTAACAGGTAACAAAGGCAGTGACGAGCAATAACGTTTCTATGCTAGAATCACTGCAGTTGCCTTGAAGTCTGTTTGGGCTGGTTGTCATCTTGGTTTGTCAGGTGTGTGCTCATACATAAAAAAGATTGCATGTATTTCCTCAGTAAGACAGGGATCTGTGTTGGTGTGTGAGTGTAGCCTCAAGTTTATTTATAACTGATGTGTTTCAGGGCATTTTACAGAATAACAAAGTAACGTACGTATTGTCGAAATTACTTTCTATGATGAGTAATTAAGTGAGGTACTGCATTACTTTTAAGAAAGGTAATGCGTAACATGTAATACATTACTTTTTCTCAATAATGACTGTAACATGGGAATAAAGTAGTCTAAGTAAAGTCTGCGTTTTTTTCCCTCCTGTACTCTTGTATTAAAAATCTGCAATAATTTAAAAATAGATGCAATACAACAGAATGAAGACAATAAATAGTAAATAAAAGTAAATAAATAAAATTCAATTTTCTATTTCAAATGCTGTTTCTTTGATATCTGTATTTCATATGATTTAATTACATTTAATTGGAAATGAGGAGTAACTGGAATTGAGCTCAAATCGTTTTCAAATAACAGGATACTCCTTAAAAACATATTTAAAATCTAAGTGTGTGCTTCATTTTCAATCAGCAGATATAAAACCATTCTATGATTAACAGCACAGCAAGACTAATTTTCTATTATATGTTCAATAACGTATACTGTTGTAAGTGGACTTGGAGAAAAATGGGTTTAGTCTTTTGTTGATTTTTATTCATTTTACTGTGTGATTTTTCTCTTTTCTCACTTTTTCACTTTCATTGGGCAATTATAGCCTTCAGACTTATTATCATATGCTTCCATCCTCTTTCTGGACTCCTGTCATATTTATACTTTTAATGTTAGGTTATGCAGATTTTATGCATACAATTCTAGGTTGTTTAAATTTCATTTATATGTACTTTAATGTCTCTACATTGTAATCATATTTTTAAAGAAAGACAATTCATATTTCTAAAGTAACTGATGGAAATATCCTTTTTACAGTAGTTTTGTTGGTCTTAGTGCACACATACAAATAGATGGGGATAGCATTGCTGTCTGTGCACTTTTGCAGACTCTCACCTTGTCTGTTAAAATCATCCTTTTCATGGTGAACCACGTCCTTGTGTCCCTTGGTTGTCCCGTACAGTAACCTGTCAAAAGCCAAGGGCAAAAAGGATAAAGGAAGGTGCTGCACACACGCTGTAGGCTTTGACAAAGTGCAAATTCTTATGATGAAAAAACTGATACTAGTAAATAGGGCTGGACGATATGGCCTAAAATCCATATCGCGATATAATTTGAAGCACGTGCGGTAACGATATACATCACGATATATTCTTTTCTTCTGTATAACGTATTTTCCACACTATAAGGACTTAAAATCCTTTAATTTTCTCAAAAATCGAGAGTGTGCCTCATGTATGACTTCTGGTTGTGCTTACTGACCTCGAACCGACTTTGGCTGCAGAAATCTGTTAAAAAATGTTTTAGTACAACTTTGATAAGCTGCACTGCTTGATGGATTGTCAGAACATTAGGGCTGCCGCAGTGAGGAGCTTTGCGGAGTAATCTGGGTCCTAAACTCCGTCCGCTTCAGGTCCCAAAGTCAAAGGAACACTGAGAGTTAAAAACAGTCTAAATTCTTTCATCTTTAATAAAATCATCAGCGTTGCTGCTTTACCAGGTGTAACAATTAAGTTTAACATCCAGGCATCCATGAAAACAGAATTTAAATTTAACGGAGTTAGAAGTTAGCTCGCTAGTTTCCACCTAAACATTTCATACCATGTTCTGACTGAGAGATTTTTGAAACTAATTCAAACGTTCAGCTCTGCTACCACTTCCAACATAAATGAAGACAGAAAACTAAACAGCAGTGGCGTTTGCAGGGTTACTGAAGTTGGACTACCTGGTATATAATGTTGTGCTACGTGATTGCTAGCGACACAGCTATGTTAGCATAACATTAGCACAGTGAAGCTGGAGGATGAACGCCAACTTTTCTTCCACTCAATAAAAGTTAACGTGACGGATTCTGGTGGTCAGGGACAAATGCAATCGCATAGCAGGATGCTATACACGGGCCAAACTTCAGTCAGGAGAACAACTGAGATCATTCATCCACAATACGAGGTTAGTTATTAATATACTGCAACAACATGGGAACAGAGCAGCTGCGAGAGAATTCAACATTAATGAATCAATGTTATGGAAGTGGAGGAAGCGCAGTTTTTGGCTTTCCCCATATTTCAAAAGTGCTTCATCTCTTTGCTGTGACTGTTGCCCGTCATAATTTGCAGATGATAATGGTTGTAGCCACTGCGATGCTTTCAACCAAAACAGGCGCAGCTTGATGACATCATCAACACGCGCTATCGCGATAGACCGGTATAGTCAAAATCTCTATCGTTGGCCAAATTTATATCGTTTATATCGTATATCGTTTATATCGCCCACCCCTACTAGTAAATTAACCTACATATATTTACTGGAATTATACAAAACAGCATTAAGTAATGATTACTGTAAGATGATTAAATAAATGTCTATACTAAGAACATTGTATTTGAATGTCTTTATGCATGCTGAGTCATCGAGGTAAGAAAATCCCAGAAAGTTGATTCTGTTCATGTGGACAGTGAGACACGTTTCACAACTACAACCACAATTTACTGGTCACGTTAACTTGGTGGACAAATACATTAATTTCACTAGAAGAATATGAAAAATGACAGGCTAGCCTTCTTAGACTGAGATTTCCTTGAGTAATGGGGGACATTTAAAGTCAATGTGCACGGTAAACAACATCCGAGATCTCAGGAGAGCACAGTCCCACGAACAGCTAAGATACTGCGAGGGCCCTCAAGCTCCCAGGCCTCTGGTAGAGGACCTGAGCTTGAAGGACAGACGGGAGGGGTGAGAGGGGAATTTTTTTAATAATATAGTCTCATCATCCACTGGACACAAATATCATCAAAATGACACAACACAGAGCGAACACCATCACCACAGACACAATGGCTAGGGAAGAAGAAGAGCATCATATCAAAAAAGGCCCTGACTCCCTCTGTGACCATTCATCGATGGTCAAGGCTGACCTCATGGCCCGTTCTTGTCAGTGGTGCTAGTTTCGGTCATAATGCAAATGTTCTGCTTATAAGGTTGGGAAAAGCGGCAGCTGGCCAAGACTGAGGAAGGTCTATGTCAACCTAAGTCTTTTTAAGTAGAGATAAACTTTGCTTATAAATTCCCATATATGTAGGTTTATTCAATAGAGTATAATTAATACGGTAGATTTTCAGCCAGCTGTTTACAAAGGTGAATTACACAGAGGAAAAAATAGAGCTACTCACATACAGAAAAGAAATTCTAATCACGCCAGTTTGTGTTTTTGACATTTTTGACACAGTTCTGATATTGCTCAACAAAACAGAAGATAATATGCGTGTCATCTATTTTCTAACCTGGTCTGGTCTTGGTGCTGGTCAAAAGCCTTCAGTGTTTCACTGGAGGAATAGGACTTCTGGGTGGGGACCCGGAGTCCCTGGGAACCAATAGCACAGC